AGGCTTCAGACTGTCCCGACAGTGCCCCCTAGTGGGTTAATATATGAATGACAATGAATGTGTAAATAACCATTGAAGCAAAACATATTTTAATAAATTTTTTGTCCTTGCCTGGTGGCGTTCCTTGCTCTTGCTGGCTGTGTCAGTCTCGAACACTGGTCTCCTGCTCTGTGATCCGACATTCTACCCAGGGCGGTGTCTTTGGCAGTGTCTATAGAGCTAACCATGACATTTTCTCTAAGGTTAACCTTAGTGGCTTTTTGCCTCATGTTCACCTGTTTTTTAATGTCTCATATTAACCAGATAGTGGTTTTATGTCTCATATTAACCAGATAGTGGTTTTATGTGTCATATTAACCAGATAGTGGTTTTATGTCTCATATTAACCAGATAGTGGTTTTATGTCTCATATTAACCAGATAGTGGTTTTATGTCTCATATTAACCAGCTGACAATCAGAAACCATTCTATGGGACGGGGAACCTGCTAACCAGCACAGGCGGGAGATTCTGAAGTCATTCTAGTGGACTGATAACGCCTAATAACGTCCATTTAATGGTTGATAACATCCGAAGCGGGTGTCCAGATTATAGTCTTATTCCTTGTATGGAAGTACATCGCTCCCTAAAACTAGTTCAAAATCCAGGTTTCACAAACATCTCTACCTCTTTAAGACTATAACAACTTTCTCTCTTAACAAMATTTAATTAGTTGTTAAAGTCAAGCTGTGTGATGTTGAGTAAGAAGTTAAGAACACCTGATTTTTGCTCCCCTGCTGTCATGGTCTGGACCTGGACCAGGATGCAAACCTGCTGGACTTGGAACCATTCTGTCTTTATTTACAGAGAAAGGAGAAGCAGGACTCTGTGTGTGCAGCAGGTCCAGGTCAAGGTTCAGGTTCAGGTCTAGGTGAGGAACTCACACAGGGAACAGAGACACAGATGAAGGCTAAATGAACAGATCAGAATACCTGGATTGATGGAACTAAAAACAGGTGTGGTGTGAGACAGCAGAGGACAACAGAACAGGCTTAGGGCTGCAACGATACAGAAAGTTCACAGTTCGGTTCGGTTCGATACTTTAGTCTCACGGTTTGATATTTTTTCGATACAGTAAAGAGAAATGTCCATGACCCTTTTAACTTGTAATATATTTAAATCATCAGGTCATCATTTAAGTCATCAGCATACATCATATGGTTCCATCTATTGCAGGAGTGTCAAATTCATTTTCACTGAGGGCCACATGAGCTTTATGGTGGTCCTCAAAGGACCAGTTATAATGAACTTCAACTAAACGGGAACCTGAGCACCTTTAACAAACACTAACTGAGCTCTACCTGGTATTTCTTGCACAGAAACAGTGTTTTAACACATCCTCTTATAAACACTGAAAAGTACCACGTATATGACTGATGAAATATGAAATAAATAAAACAAATAAAAATAAAAGGAAGGGTTATACTCACTGAGTTGTGCTGCCATCTTGAATTCTGAACTCCCACTTTTCACTGGATCCAGTAAAACCATTCAACCTCCTGTGTGAACAGTAGAACCCATCATGGCTCACAGTATTTATACAAATGTAATGATAGTTTTTTTTTCATTCAGTAATAAAGCGTGAGCAGAAGTTGATGGTAACATTTACACAAAGTACCCGAGGTGTCTTTGTCTTGAGTTTCTGCTTTTTATTAGTGAAATATAATTAAAGTTTGTAGCTGGAGACATGCAGTGAGTCAGAGTGAAACATCTTTGAAGTGAGTTCACAGAGCTGCTCTTCTTCTTCTCTGTTTACTGTAAGACTGTCTTTTTGTCTCTCTGTCCAAATACTCTTCTGTTTATCTGATGACTTTTTCTTTCCTTTCCCACAACCCCTCTCTCTGACCTCTTCTGTTTGTCCGTGTCTTTCCTTTCCCACTCCCCCTTGCTCCTTATCCCTGGCTTCCTTATGGCTTGTCCTAACATCTCTAACCTCTTCCCCTCCTCGTCCTCCATCCTTCATATCTGTCCCCTCAGATGAAGCGAAGGATGTCTCCACTGGGGGCCAGCTTTGGAAGAGGGCGCAGGTCAGTCAATTTAAGCCCTGATTCTTCAACTTATTTTTAATAACCAACGGTTCTTCATGGGATCAGTCATTTCCTTCTATTTCTCCTTCCAAGTTTTGACTTTCTGCACAGTTTGGACCTTTAGATGGGAGATGATCTTGATAATAAAGGACCAGTTTTTACTATTAATGAGAGTTAGCTCTAATTTATCTGCAACATTTACAGAATATCTTTTAATTTGAAGCTACAGGGGAGACAGAGTTCACCTACACCACTCTGACATTTCTAAAACTTCAGCTTACATAGAGTGGTTGATTATTGATTTGATTTATTGATTTAACAGGAAAAGATTACTAAAAATCAAGCCTGACTCAGCATGATTGCTGTTTTACAGCAGGTTCCTGTTCTGCAGCACATAAAACAC